TAATGTCCCTAATGGCAGTTTTGAGAGCCTTCTTGGTCTTGTAGGTGTTCACCTGTCTCTCCAAGATGTCCCATTCAGAATAGGCAAGAGGATTGCACACTTGCAATGAGTTGGGGAGGGGGCATAAGTTGGGCGACCAACTGTTAAGTGGTGCCTCTTGAGTGCATAGGATTTATAATCCAAATCCTCTTTGACAATACGCTTGATTGTTCACCTGCTGGTGCCCATTTCCTTGGTGATTTTCCTTAAGGTTTTGCTGGGGTTCTCTCCTTGGCAATGTACTGAACTCTAGAGTTCTAGTGGAGCCAGAGTGCTTCTTATGAATTTTTTTCATTTTGACTCAAAACAGTCCTTGTTGTCTGAAGCTCCATATGCTTTTGCAAGGTCATAGACCATGGTTTTAAGGTATTTAAACCATTCTGTGATTTCCTTGGCTTAGTCGGCGGCATGAAGGGTCTCCACAACAGCAGCTTGACAACTGTACTCTGAAGATATTTCAGTTACTAAGAACCTTGCGTATCAATAGACAAACAGTTAACGAGGTCTAGTACTTTCTAACGGCACTCTTGAAATCTCACAAGACCATGATGTAAAAATTCTAGATTTAGCTGTGCCACACTGTGTTTATATATATATATATATATATAGCATGAAGTCACAAGTCATCATGGCCTTGAGCATGCTGACCTTTTTTCAAATTGTTGATCACACTAGATAACACGCTCTTGCCCAGAAACTGTAACTAAGGTCTGCTCAGCATAGTTGCAATATAAACTACAAGTGAACTCTGTACATGCTGAATAAATACAAATGCACCTCAGCAAGCAACTGCTGTAGGGATTGGCTAGCCACCCTACTAGATAGGTATCCTCATATATGAGTGGCCAGCTATATATATATATAGTATTTAGATCTGTTTGTGGCTAAAACATTCATGTTGACAAAGATGGTTAATGATATTGTTGCACAATTGTCAGGTGATAAAAGCAGTAATATAATACTTATTAAAAAGTATTATATTTTATTTCACCACCTGACAGCTGTAACATTAACTACCTTTTACTATCTTTCATTAAAAATAAGGTATTATGGTTAAAAGTAGATAAATGAAATCTTTTTTCCACTGTCACATTTATATTTATATATATATATATATATATATATATATATATATATATATATATATATATAAAAGTACTATGCCAACTTGCTGAGACAGTTATGAAAGGCTATCAAGACCAAACACTTGGAAAAACAGATGAAAGGGGCTCTTGTTTCATCTGGACACAAGTCCTTATTTTTAAAGGCTGCTGCGTATAATTGTGGCTTTGAACTGATTTAGTCATCATCTGTTTCCAAACATGAAAAAACTCGATAATAGTCTGCTAGTTAAATGGGGTATGTTGCACAGAAGGTGTAGAGTATTATGTTGAGGTAGAAAATGACAATGTCAGTGAAACAAGTATTGGCACCAAAGGCCAATTTAGAAAGAGGTGGTATAATCAGACTTTAGAATACCCGAACGCAGGTTCAATACAAGGCTAGCAAACGTTTATTGGAGTTTTAGAGAAAAAAAATGAAAGAAGTCCAGCCATTTAAATGGAATATTTTAAGAACAGTAAAAGCTAGTAAAGTGAATAGTAACTCCAGTAAGCTGTGTCAGAAGAAGTTGGCCATTACAACATACAAGAGTGGTGCTGAGTTGTTGAATGAGAGGTCTGAAATTATGGCAAAATGTAGGCACATGAGAAAGTTGAGTTTAGGATTATATGATCCTGGATGAAATTGGTAAAAAAAAATTTTTTTTTTTTACCTCTTCTCTCACACATTACTTCCAATGTCGCATTAAGAAATGTAAGTTCTTATTTAAGTTCTTGTGTTTCATTGAGTTAACTACCTGATGAGTTCTTGGCAGTCAAAGCCGCAGTAGTGTTCCATTATTTTAGAATAGAGATATACTCTCTCTCTATATATATATATATATATATATATATATATATATATATATATATATTCAAGCATGTTTGGTTAAATAATCTGTACAGATTATTTTTGTTGCAATCCTCTCAAATTCTCTGATCAACTTCATGTTGATATTAAATTCATTAAGGCAGGCACCATAGTTTTTTTTCTTTTATTTCCATTTTTTCCAGGTACTTCCTATCTCATCTGAGATAATCTTCAGGGGTGAATTGCTAAGACAAAAAAATTAATGTAACTGTTTACCCTTTTTTTTTTTTGTAAATATTAAATATGCATGAAACATGGCCCGTTATAATTATTTTAAACACATATGAACATGTTCTGTTATAATTAATCTAAAATTGTTAAAGCTATGATGTTTTTTTTTCATGTTTTTGATCTAAGGGAGGTAACTTTAATTTGCATAATTATAATTTGAGACATTAAAAAATTGTTATAAACATTTTAAAACATGGCTATGCTCACAATTAACCTTATTTAGTGTTGGCTGTTTGCTCCTTATGTAGACAGCCTCAAGAATTTAAAGTTTTTGTTTTAATTTTATGGTGGAGTATACTCGTGTTATCAACAAGTATTTTCTGAAATATAGAGGTGGACAGGAATGTGTCTAAATTTTATGTGATAGAGATTGTATCTGACATATGTAGTGTAAGTTGTCTTGATAATGATGTGGAGCTAATATATATGTATTTACTTTTATGTCAGAGGTACAATCTTCCAAAGAACATTTAAATTGATATACAATGTTGATCTTTAAGAAATGTTGGGGATGATTAATTTGGTTGTATTAAATTTAGTATGGTATATAATTAGTTTTATTTTTTTACTGGGATCAGTGGGGAATATATTTGTCCTTATGAAATTTTATGGATTATTTTTCATCTAGTTTGTAGTTAGAATGTACTTTGATTGCAGTGTAGTAGATTTGATATGTTTAGGGTTATTTGAGAAAGTATTATGTTCTCTTTTTGATTTCTGTTAATATTTCTAATAGTTTGTCTAATTTGTTCAACAATGTAATTAGGAAAGTCATTATTCATGAGAGTTTGTTTAATGTAACAATGGTGCCTTCCTTAATGAATTTGATATCAACATTAAGAAGTCAATCAGAGAATTCAAGAGGATTACAATAATAAAAAAAAATATATATATACATAATATTTTCAGATTATTTAACTAAACATGCATGAAGATATGCTACCTAAATATACATTATATATATATAGGATTAATACAAATATGAAATTTGTCACTTAGCTGATTGATGTTATATTTAGCACCCTGACCTCAGAGTTTCATAGATGGAACTTTTTGTAATCGCTCTGTCCACTCTCCAGAAGCTACCAGCAATTAACTGCTTATTTTCTCATTTTTGTTATTTTCATATTAAGTTAAATAATAGTTTATGCATATTCTATTGGTTCAAGATTGTTTTTTTTTTGTTCATTGTGTGCGTATGTGTAGAATGTTGTGGTTATCTCTCCTTTTTATCATTTTTTTTGTCTCCTTATACTCCCTATATATATATATATATATATATATATATATATTTGGTTGGATTGATACGAGTGTGACCCAGGGTTTCACGCTTTTGTGATTGTCAGACAATTTATTTATGTTTTTAAGTTTATATTAATCTTGTGGTGGCCATAGAAAATTAAGAAAAATACAAAAATTTTATTTCAAATAATTTTTATTTACCCAAGTTCTTTCAATCACATTGGAGACCATCTTCAAGGGGTTAAACTGTCTGTGTAAATGTAGGTCCATAAATTTAAAATTTTTTTTTTTGCTGTTTGCTTTACTGCATTTTGGAGTTTTCCAGGGTGAAATTCAAGAGTCCCCCCCCCGATGCAAAAGAGGTAATTTTTTTTTTATTATCTTTTTTTTTTATATAAGAGAATTAAAGCCAAAAATAAAGTGAAATGTGAGTATAGCAATAAAGTTCTTAAATGTTTGTAGCAGTTGTAGCAAATATATTATATATATATATATATATATAAAAAATTTGGTATTTTTCTTAATTTTCTACACACACCAAGAAATTAATTTGTGGATTCGAAAGGATTAAAAGTAAAATAGACATAATATGTCTAAATTATTTAACCAAACCTGTTTGAATATATATATATATATATATATATATATATGAAATGGACAAAGTCCAACAATTATTTAAAGACATTTTTATGTTTAACATTCTTTTTATAGATACAAGTATTTAAGTAAATGCTCTGTTTATAATAAACAGTATTAAATAACATTTACCGGCCAAAATATCTGAGAAATTTTCATAGAAATATTCGTCCTTCGACAGGATTCGAACCTGTATCCAATACGGAAGCGTCATTTACGCTGACGTGCCTTACCTCTCGGCCACAAAGGATCATTCGGTTGGCAAGGTCGAATTTACTGCTTATAAACTTCAACCTTTCATGAATCTCTCAGGTACATTCATAACTGCTCATGGCGTATCAAAGGTAAACAAATGACGTCACACATTATGAAATGGACAAAATGTCGTTTATATATATATATAAAAAATGACAATTACTATCTCCAAAGAGATCTGACAATCAATTTTCTACTAGTGAAATTGACATTTATACTAAAGGGCTTGTGATGACAATGATTTTAAATCTTTTAAAAAGATATTTTAAACAGTGGTTTACATTAGAATATATGCACGATTAAAGACCAATAAGAGTTCTTTATTAAAGTTTTACATTCTTTGTTTATCTATATTTATGCCCATTTTCCTACTTTCCATTGAAAATAAATTGTCTTATGTCTGAGTACATTCGGCTTTCACAAGCTATTATCAATAATCTTTTGTTGATAACATTGTGACTATATGCATGTATGTATTTAAATATATTTTTATAATGTATAATTTTTTCCCCCCCGACATCATTTTCTACTTCCATCACTCTTCTTCGCTTGACTTTGCTTTTATTCGTTATATTTGAATGTTACTGCATGAGTATGTGAATGTATTAATTGGATATGAAATTAACTTCACAGAGATAGGGACATCATTTGTTAGGGAGAGACGAAAGGCGCTTCGGCAGACGGGCAGGAGAAAGGCGCTTAGACGGGCAGGGAGAGACGAAAGGCGCTTCGGCAGACGGGCAGGGAGAGACGAAAGGCGCTTCGGCAGACGGGCAGGAGACGAACGGGCGGGAGAGACGAAAGGCGCTCGGCAGACGGGCAGGAGAGACGAGAGAGACGAAAGGCGCTTGGCAGACGGGCAGGGGAGAGACGAAAGGCGCTTCGGCAGGCGGGCACGGCAGGCGGGCAGGAGACGAAGAAGGCGGGCAGGAGAGACGAAAGGCGCTTCGGCAGACAGGCAGGGGCAGAGAGACGAAAGGCGCCTGGCAGACGGGCAGGAGAGACGAAAGGCGCTTCGGGCAGACGGGCAGGAGAGACGAAAGGCGCTGGGCAGACGGGCAGGGGGAGACGAAAGGCGCTTCGGGCAGACGGGCAGGAGAGACGAAGGCGCTTCGGCAGACGGGCAGGGAGACGAAAGGCGCTTCGGCAGACGGGCAGGGAGAGACGAAAGGCGCTTCGGCAGACGGGCAGGGAGAGACGAAAGGCGCTTCGGCAGACGGGCAGGGAGAGACGAAAGGCGCTTCGGCAGACGGGCAGGGAGAGACGAAGGCGCTTCAATTATTTTTTGATTATTTCCTATCTCTTGTGGCTCTTAATAAGTTTTGTCTTATTTCTCCTAAACCTTGTCTTAGCATCCATTTAAACTCATCAAGTATGTCACACACCACTTTTCTCTGTCCTTCAATCTATCCTGTGAGTATCAGATTTTCCAAGCCCTCCTTCCTCATTAGTTGCCCCAGAAATTTCAACTGCCTCCTCTTGATGTTAACCATCAGTTTTCTTTTTAGTTTTTATTTTCTCTAAAACCTTGTTGTTGCTCCTGTGTTCGATCCACAGTATGCTCAACATCTTTCTGTAGAACCACATTTCTGTGGCTTCAAGTGTCTCCTTCATCTTTGATGAAATTTTCCTGCATTCAATGCCATACAGGAGGACAGATATCAGTAATGTCAATAATCTTTTCTTTGTTTCTAACAAAATTTTTCTCTTAATACTCTGCTTAGCTTTTGGAATGCATCTTTGCCCATCCCAATATGTCTTCGGTTTCTATCCTCTGTTAGAACACTTCAGATATTTAAATTTTTATACTTGCCATTATAGTGGTAGCCTAAGCTTTTTTTTACTGTGTCTCAAGATCACAAATTGATAGCAGTACTTGGTGCTCCTAAGTGGTCACCCATCTAAGTACTGATTAGGTTTAATGCTGCTTAACTTAGATAACATAAGAACCATTCTACAAGCAGGACTTGACTGGAGGAAATTCTGACTTTGAAAATTTTGACATTAAAATTAAAATTGTTTTTCATATGCAATTCTATATGCTTGCAAAAATACCGTAAGACTGATGATTTGAAAAATAACCATATCTTGTGTCAGCCTTGCTTGGCAGTTTGAATGATGCATTGTAGATGCAAGCAGTGTATTTTGGGTGTAGTTGCATTCCTGAATCAGCACATAAATAAATTAACAGGCAGTAAGCCTTGTTGCAATCACATGTACACATTTAGCTTGCCATACCAGAAAATTAAAAACAAAATGATTAATGTATTGTATGTTTTGTAACATGAAATATTTTATCATTATCTGCTGATATAAATAAACTTGCATGCATAATTAATTGATATGACCATTTGATTTTATCATTATATGTTGTAGAGGAAAAATGACTGAATATCATAGAATTATGGCACATCAAATCTTGTACAGTAGTCATGAAACAAACAATTTAAAGAATTTTTCTTATACATCCAAAAATCTATTTCTAAATATAGTTTTTTGACTCACTGATTTTTTATAAACGTTGTTAAGATAAAGTCTTCACACTGGAGAAGCTAACATTAGGTGAGTGTTCAAGAGAAATTCACTGAGGTATCCAAAGAAATTTGCCATCTCCGAGGGCTTGGAGAGAAGTTCACCATCTCCAAGGGCTCCAGAGAAACAAAGCATCTGTAAGAGTTCCAGAGAAATTAACCATCTCTGAGGGTTCCAGAGAAATTCATTATCCATGAAAGTTCAAAAGAAATTCACCATCTGTGAGGGTTCCAGATAAACGAACCATCCTTGATGTTTTCAGAAAAATTCACTATTCATGAGGGTTCAAAAGAAATTTACAATCTGAGATTTCCAAAGTAATTCCCTATCACTAAGGGTTCCAGAGAAATTAGCAAACTTTCAGTGTTTTGGAGAAATTCACCATCTCTGAGCATTTGAGAGAAATTCACCATCTCTGAGCATTTGAGAGAAATTCACCATCTCTGAGCGAGAGAAAATTCTCTGAGAGAAAATTCACCATCTCTGAGGGCTCTGGAGGAATTCACCATCCTGAGCATTTGAGGGCTCTGGAGCATTTGAGAGAAATTCACCATCTCTGAGGGCTCTGGAGAAATTCACCATCTCTGAGGGCCATCTCTGAGGAGATTCACCACCTCTGAGGGCTCTGAGAGAAATTCACCATTTGAGAGAAATGAGCATTTGAGAGAAATTCACCATCTCTGAGCATTTGGAGAAATTCACCACCTCCTTTGAGGGGCTCTGAGAGGAATTCACCATCCTCTTTGAGGGAAATTCACCATCTCTGGGAGGAATTCACCACCTCTGAGGGCTCTGGAGGAATTCACCATCTCTGAGGGCTCTGGAGGAATTCACCATCTCTGAGGGTTCTGTTAAATTGCTTCAGGAAGGAGGACATTAATGCTAAAAAGCTAAACATGTAGGACTTCCTTACATTTAAAATCCTCATTTATTGTACTTAAATCAAAATATTTAGACTATATTCAAACTTATCCTCATCTTTGTGATTGTTATCACAGCATTTTAACCATTGTGCCCTCTAGCCTTTCTCAAAAGCCTGATGAAGGCCAGGGGGCACAACAGCTGAAACATTGAGATAACAGAAAAGATGAAGACAACAGACTGAATATAAATAGTTATCATTAAGCTATTTCCTTTTTTTTTATTTTTTCCTCAGTTTCATCCCCATGCAAGGTAGTAAAGCCACTAAGACAAGGAGTTACTAAAATTAGTTCATATTTTCACTGAGAGCATAAGATTTTCTGGGGGACAGGTCTCCTATGCACCTACTTGACTATGGGCTTGCTTGTAAGTGTTTGCATGTGTGTGTGCATGTGTGTATGCACAGGCACATCACCTAAGATTTTTTTTTTTTTTTTTTTAATTGGTATCATCCTGTCAAGGCAGTAAAGCCACTAAGGCTCAAGGGGTTACTGGGTGTGGAGGAATTAGGAACAGAAACAATAATGATGAGCAGGGAAAGGAAAGAGTAAACAGGATGACAGTAGATAGCGATTGACATTGCATTTAAATTTTTTCAGATTAAAGTTGGCTGGAAAGCATGGAGCTGGAAAGGAGTCCCACAAGCAAAAAGTGCAAGAAAAGAAACTGTTAGCATACAATTTATGGTTACATCTAACCAGCTCGGCTGTAAATTGCTGCAAACTCTTACCTAATGGTAATATCAGCTGTTTCCTAGTAGGGAAATATTTGGCATTTATTTACTGAGCAGTCAGTGCCACTATCAATTGAAATCATAAAATATTTTTATTAAAACAATTTTCTTTTACATTTTTTTTTTTTTTAAAATCTCAAGCAAGACAGTAAAGCCACTATGACACATGTAGTTACTGGGTGTGGGAGAATTAGGAACAGTAACAAGGCTAAGTAGTGAGAACAAAAGAATAATCAGGAGGACAGTAGATAGTGATTGATATTGCATTTAAATTTTAGCAAATTAATGTTGGCTGGAAAGCGTGGAGCTGGAAGGGAGTTCCACAGGTAATAAGTGAGGGAAAAGAAACTGTTAGAACTTATCACTACATCTAGCCAGCTCAACTGTAATTTGATGAGATCTCGATGCCAGTCTAGTACTGTGCTTTATTTAAAAAAAATCTATGTATCATCATGAAGATTTTATCTAAACAATTACCATGAAAGTATTTATAGAAAAAGGTACAATGAGGAAACCTTATGGGGATGGAAATGTGACTAAAGCTGAGCTGCAAATTCAGAACTATTATCTCCATCTTTGTTGTTGTTTTGTCCATTGTACCTTCCAGCCTTCATCAGGTATATATTGATCCAGGGAATTCTGAACTGAACCCTTTATTTAATCTATGGGGGTAGAATGTTCTCATTCTGTCAGTTCTCATGTCTAAGGAAATCTCATCTGTTCAGTATCTGTCTATATTTCTGAGATGAGGTGTTATGTACACTATTTACATTATTTGGACTATTGTCCTCATCTTTGTCGCCATATTTATTACGTTTTGGTCATTGTACGCTCTAGCCTTCAGGTGGTTGGAGTGTCAAACTGAACCCTTTATTTCACTTGCTGGGGTAGACTGTTCTAGTTCCACGTGCCATGTCTAATGGATGTCAGTTATCAGTTATCTCCTGTTAATTCCCCTCTTCAAGTTCTCCACTGCCTTAACCAGGTATTGAACTCTCACTCTTTGGGTCCAGTCACTGGATCTAACTAATGCCTTTATCTGTTGTGCCATGTGTCCTTGAGGACACATGGCACAGAAGGCCGGAGTGTACAGTGGCTGAAATGGGATAAATATGGCAACAAAGATGAGGACAATAGTCCAAATAATGTAAATAGTATATCTCATCTAGTTCTTATTTTTAGTAGTGATCAGTTATTGCTTGCTATTTCCACTTAGTACAAGCATAGTTACATTATATTCAGACAATAGTCCAAATCTAAATAGTGTAAATATGTTTAAAATTTGTCAGACTCACTGTAACAAGAGAAGCTTCTTGAAATATTAACAAAACCGGGTAGGATGTTGCAATACCATAAGAAAATATCGATTCCTTATATCACTTTCGATAATCTCATTGTAATGTAGGCTTTCAAAACTTAATTATCTCCCCTTGATTCAGGTATAATTTATACACATGTCAAAGGGTGTAAGAAATTTTTATCATGTAACAGTCTGGCTAGAGGCATGAAAAGTCCCCTTGCCGGTTGGTGCCAATTCCTCAGAATGATATCACAACTACTCCAGACTTTCATTTTCTTTCACTTTATAATGGTGCCAATTTCTCAAAACAACTGCAATTCTCTTTTATGCCAAGGCCTTGAGTGACATCCAAGAAAAACTTGTCAAGGTTTTCTTTTATTTTTCTTCCTTCTTTGAACCATTTAAAAAAAATATCCTAACAAGGAGCAATGTTTATGCTATATACATTGTTCGGACTGTTGTCCTCATGGCCCAGTGGATAAAAGCATTGGTTGAAGTAATCCAGTGACTTGACAGAGTTGTGAGTTCAATATCTGGCCACAGCAGATGTGAAAAAAAACTTGAGATGAGTTACTAAAAGGAAATAACTGAAACTGAGACATCCAGAAAAGGCAGGGTGTGTGGAACTAGAACAATCTACAATAAAGGGTTTGGTTTGAAATTCCAATGTATATTACCAAAAGAAGGCTGGAGTGTACAATGGACCAAACTTTGTGAATATGACAATAAAGATGAGGACAATATTCCAACCAATGTAAATAGTGAAAATAGTTACAACACATAGTAAATAGAAATATAGACAGATGTTGAACGAGTGATGTTGTATGATAGAATATCAACGAAATTGATGCACCAATAAAACTTAAAGAATACCCCACAAGATTTTGCTTATGAACTGAACTCATTAAATTTACAGAAACAGAACAAAGTAATCATTTTTTAAATCATAATAACACTATTTACATTGTTCGGACTATCATCCTCATCTTGGTTGCCATATTTATCAACGTTTTGACTGTTGTATGCTCCAGCCTTCTTAAGGTGGTTGGAATGTCGAACTGATCCCTTTATTTCACTCGCTGCGGTAGACTGTTCCAGTTCCTGTTAATTCACCTCTCTAAGTTCTCCACTGCCTTAACCAGGTATTGAACTCACAACTCTTTGGGTCCTGTCACTAACACCTTTATCCACTGTGCCATGTGTCCTCAAGGTGTTAGTTAGATGATAGTCCGAACAATGTAAATAGTGTACATAATACCTCATCTCAGAGATATAGACAGATACATAACATTCATAAAGCTATTTTTCTTTCTTTCTTTCTTTTTTCTATTTGGCATTTATCATTGTGCAAAAATTGGGTCAGTGACAACCAGTCTATAAGAAGGAAAATTCTGAATGCCAAACTGTGAAAAAGTCAAGGAATAACCACTTCACTATCTTTCCCCCAAGAAGAGAATTCACACATTATAAAGAAACAGTATTTGTGAAGATTCATGAAGGTGTATGGCTTTAAAAAAAAAAAGGCATTATCAGCAAATATTCCATTGTAAAAAAATACCAGAACTAAGCAGTCTGAATCCATTAAATAATTCTTTCACTGGACAAAAGGTGAGTTATCTTTAACTATCGATGATTTGGCTTGATTTATTTTGTTTTACGGCATATCTTCAATGGTTTATTTAATGTCGACAACATTTTTAGGATATATTCGTATGAATAGAATATGTATTCTTTGGTTTAGATTGGTTTGAACTTGGGAACAACAGCAATTAAGAAGTGGTTCCATGATCCTCAAAACCTCCTGATCAAAGGCCTGGCTGTCGAATGTAATTTATAGTCTTACCCAGGACATAGGATGTAGTTTATCGTCATATCCAGGACAGGAAAGAGGAGGTGGTAGGAAGTAAAAATTATTAGGATGAGGGGCAGAGAGAGTGATTGGCCCTTGATTTGAAAAAGTTAAGAGTGTAGTGTCTGGGAAAGCATCCATATGGGAGTCTGTTCCATAAAGTAGCAGTTCTTGTGAAAAAACTATCTGAATGGACATTTCTCCTTACAGTTGAAATAAGGAAGAAATGAGGATGATTCAGCTCTGTGGAAGTAGGATGGCATCTTAGCTGTAAAGGTCTGAACTGGTGGAACTAACGAATAGTGCTGATCTGAGGTAGTTAAGTAATATATTTTTTTTTTTTTATAGAAGAGTCAATGAACATAGGTAAAACCGAGATAATTAATCTATAAATAATCATTAATGGAGTTTGGTTTGGTTTATTTTGTTTTACATTATATCAACCTCAATGGGTTATTTAATGCCGACAACATTTTTAGGATAGATTCGTATGAACAGAATATGTATTCTTTGGTTTAGATTGGTTTGGTTTATTTTACGACATATCAACCTCAATGGGTTATTTAATGCTGACAACATTTTTAGGATAGATTCGTATGAACAGAATATGAATTCTTTGGTTTAGATTGGTTTGGTTTATTTTACGACATATCAACCTCAATGGGTTATTTAATTCTGACAACATTTTTAGGATAGATTCGTATGAATAGAATATGTATTCTTTGGTTTAGATTGGTTTGGTTTATTTTGTTTTACGGCATATCAACCTCAATGGGTTA